AGGCTACCACAAGGACAGCAGAGCGGTCGTTGCCAGTCTCACAAAAGATGAGAACCTTGCCACGGCGGAAGTTGGACTTGTCGATAACTGCCATGTTTTCCCCGTTGGCCGAGTCTTGCTGAAGCATGATTTGGCTCTGATAGGCTTCAATCATGTGTCTGTTGATCAAGGCCACGGCGTCGTCGAGGCGATGGATCAGGTCCTGGAGGTCCTGGACATCAATGGTGGCGGCACAGAGACCCAGCTCCTTGATAGCACGATCGACGCTCATGAGTCGTGCATCAGCCAGACGGGCGTCCCGGGCAGCAAGAATCATGGTGAAGCCGTTGTCCTTCAAGAATTTCTGGTCGCGGGCCACAGACGAGGGGCCGAGCCACAAAAAGTCGAGGATCTCATGAGCCTTGCGGCGATCCTCCCAGGTCCACTCACCAACACCATCATAGGCCTTTTGAGGCTTGCTCTGGGTGATGATCTCAAGCTCGGGGGCACTCAGCGTCAGAGGATCGACGTTGGAGAAGCGCGGGACGCAGACAATGGCTTGATTGGCCTTGACGTTTGGGGCCGGGATCAGAATGCTGGGAGGGCTCGGCGGGCGAGCAGCATAGGGAGCTGCTGGGACGACGGTATTTCGCGTCTCGGGCTCATGCGAGTCCACGATCATGACCATGGTTGCTAGTTCGTAAAGAGAGTTATGCCGAGAGGGGGGAACAGTACGGAAGAAGCTGGTCGTTGGCGACAGCAGAACAAGTGCAGCGCCAAGGATAATAACAAATGTTGCAGCAGAGAAATTAGTGTCGCTGAATATGAGCGCATCAAGTTCTCGAGGAGAAGCCGGTATCTCAGGCAGTTGCTCGACGCTGCAGTGTTTCGACACCTCTCGAGTCTTGGTGGCGCAAAGTGGTTGGTGGTTGTTGCCCTTATCAATGTTGCGTGAGCCGGCCAGCTAAAACTGTCTGCTGCGTTGGGCAAGAATGATGCGCAGAGTTGATGAGCTCTTTGGTGAGCGCCGACTGGCAATTGAGTGAGTCGGAAAAATCGTGGAAAGAGCGCAAATGAAGCGGGTGCAGTGGAAAAGGAGCGGGACGCACTGATATCATCTACGAGAGATTTGAGAAGAGAATATAGATGAGATCCGAGGTCGCGTCGCAAATCGCGAACTAATTAAGTGGCCTGCTCTAGCTACTAACATGACCTTATTAGTGCAGTTGCGCCGGAGAAAAGGTCAGGCCAGGTACCTGACAGCTTTTAGCAAGTACCTAGCTTCCGCCTGCATATGATTGACGGTAGCGCCTGTGGTTAGTACCTGACCTACATAGGTAGGTACCAGATTAGGTAGGCACCTCAGGCAGCAGCCGCCATCCGAGCATCTTCTGTCGACGACCACTCAACACATCAAGTGCTAATCTCAATCTCCAATGTCATATAGCTTGTACGTGTGGAGTACTGCTGTCTTGGCTGGTAAGAACACGGGATTGAAGTCGTTGGCTGTCCTTCGTAGATTTTACGCTGCATTCCGCAGACCTGTAGGCAGCCATAAGGGGACATCGAGGCACCATGTCGGTTCTGCCAGCAGCTCGGCCCCCTTAAGCTTATAAAATAGCTTGAGCTTGTGCATGCACCTAATGCTAGAGCATGTAAATGTACTCGGGAAATACTTAGCAAACGTTCTGAAATTTCACAGCAAGAAGATTCATATTGGACACGAGAATCAGATTGGGTGTTGGTGGCAATATTATATTCATATGATGAGTGCCAGATAGCCCCAGAAAGTGTACACTCACGTTAATCATCTATCTAAAATCTTCTAATTCCTAGCGGGAGATGTTTGAACGAGACGGCTTTGGTCGCAGCGATCGTCCGCTCCCCGTGTCTGCCGATGATGGGGACAGCGTGCTCTCTTGCGCAAGTGGTGAAGAGAAATCAGGTGTCACCGATCTGGACTCTACACCCGGCCTCTTTGGCCTGGAATTGGTAGACAGGTTCTTCTTCCCCCTCTTGGCCGACGACGTGGAGGCATTGCTGCCCCTTCTAGCGACAACACCGGCCTCCTCGCCCTCCACGGGTGGCGTCGGACTGCGCGACGAGCCCGCCGAGATACTACTTCGGCGGGCATTGCTGCCACTCCTTACGCGCTTGTGCTCCTTGAGAATGGACGAACTTCGATGGTGCAGTGCCTTTTCCGGAACCTGGTGACTGTGATGCGGCTTTTCCTCCACCTTTCTTCGGCCCGGTAGCCACCAAAACCAGCCGGATTGCTGCTTGGCAAGCTCCTTGTCTCGTTGCTTGAGCTTCTTTTGCAGCAGGGCTCTCCGCTCGTTCTCTCGTTCCCAGTATTCACTCCTGTACAGCTCCCAGTTTTCTCGAAAGTTGGGTGAAAAGGGCTTTGCAAGCAAAAGGAGCTTGACATAGTCTCCGCCGGGCGCCAGGTCTTCTTCGTGTCCGCCACGCTCTTCGTCGCTGCTCACAAAGGGGAGCTGCGGGTGGCCTTGATGATGCAGGTTGAGCTCCTTGTCCACCTCCTTGAGGATCCCAGGCTCCACGAACCGGTAATGCCCCGACGTGCCACTAAATGCGCCATACGTGAAGAAGAATCCGGCGGTCGAAACCAGTTCCACCCACCAGCCTCTCTTGATGACGACCAGCTTGCAGTTGAAACCCCGGAGGCCCCGGTTCGAGATGCCGAGCCACCTGCGAGGCCAGCGGATGCCCCTTTCCCAGATTCCCGTGCCCCATACCAGCAACGCCGTGACAATTCCGGCCATGAAACACACCTTCTCGGCCATGTCGACGACCCAGTACACGGAGCCGCCAACACCGACGCCGTCCTCGCGCGGCGCAAAGAAGAGCGCGTAGCCAAAGCCGCAGGTCCAGACGGTCAGGAGGGACAGAAAGAATGTGTGCTTGCGTCGGCGTGTCCGGAGCGACAGGTATTGTGCGCGGAGTGATGCTTCGAGAATCAGCATGTTGAGATAGATCATGGACGGCGAGCTCGGCGTGTGGTTCAAGGGGTCGCCGGGCTTGCCACCGGCGACGATGACGGGGCTCGGGCCCAGAGAGGGCGTATTGTTTTCCATGTCGGGCGCCGGAGCGCCCTTGACAATTGAATCGACCGTTTCCGCCATGTTTTTCTTTTCGGCGTGGTCGTGAATTTGGGCGGACCCGGTAGTGGTAAGAAGGAAAAAAGGGTTCGCTGATTAGAGGAAAACGTTTCGTAGATTTTGGCGTGGTTTTTTTGGCGATCTTGCTGCTACTGCTGTTGGGGTGAGCTGGGGACGGGCGCTGGTAGCTGTCCGCGTCAGCAGTTCCAGGTCTCTATTGGTGCATCCGCGCGGGCGTGACCAAGTGTCGCAAGAGCGTCCCAGAACGAAGCTTCTGCCCTTGATGGCGAAGAGAGACTGACTCTTGGGCCGCTGAGCAGAGATTTTGCAACTTCGAATCCCCCCGAAAAAGACGTTGCAACAAATTGAGTTCAACGTCATTTCACGAACCGAGAGGTTGGCGGCCCGAAGCTCTAGGTACCCATGAGCAGCGGGCTCCTATCCAATGGTCATAGCGCTAAACACTGGAACTGCCCCCTGTTTTGTGGATGTCTTGCACATGTCTTCTGCACTTCAGCTGCAGGCTAGAACCTGACGACCTGGGCTAACAGCCGATGCCAAAATACTGTCCACTTTTTTCCTCACTTACACCATGTGATTGACCCATTCCTGTATCTGATGAGATATTTTGCTCACCAGATCTTGTACAACTAGAATAATGCTTCAAATATTATCTAGTACGGATACTGTTCAATATCATTGATGGCGATTCGCTCAAGATAACAAAACCAAACATTTGGAAATTGCCACGCTCCGGAAATGCAGGAATCGCCCTGGTAATGCATGTAATCAATCTTTGGAGGATCAACTCCGCGATGGGTAATACCGCTCTTGTTCAACCCTCCCTCCGCTGACCTTTTCCAAGACGTTATGCATCCGACAACGGATAACGGTCTTTTTGGTGCAATATGATACGACATATGAATTGATAACGCAGCCTCGTCTTGGTGTATTGCATTGTGTCGGTGGCATGTATCGCGAGTATTCCTACTGCGACGAGAACTGAGTCTTGATTGTGATGGCTATACATTATATAAGTGCCTTACCAACCGGACAGTCTTGAGACTCATTGTAAAAAGTTTTACATTCAGGACTCCGGTTCAATCAATAAATGAATTTACAGACACAAACTTTTACACCCAAGTCTCGGGAACTTTTCTGCTCTGGTCTAATATTTCCAATATGCCGCCCACCAAAGAAGTCAGAGAGATATTCACTTCTGAGAAACCTCAAGTCAACTTTGTACACCCTTCCGGTGAATCTCAATTCGAAAATTCACACTCGACCCTACCATCTCATCATTGCATGCCTCTCGGTCTATACCCAAGCCAAAAGTCACTGGGACGTTGACGGCACTTTCTTTGATATGCTAGGAAAGAAAGCGAGGAGGGTATGCAGTCGCGTTGACGAGCATTCAGCGCCTCCAAAAGGCTGATCCATCTACAGCACCCATGCACGTCCAGGTTCTATTGGACAGACTGGGGCGAGAGGACCTGTGAATGGCAAGTCAGCAGGAGTACGAATAGGTATGTCCATTCAGGTCTGGGTTCGTTGCCTGCCCATGTATGATTGAACGGGCACTGAATCATGAGTATGTTATTCTCAATGGACTTTGTCACACGAAGCGATACCCTGTGTGAAGATTGGATTCATTTGCAGTTTTAAAGAATCAATGTAATCGCTCAACAGCGTCGACATGTAAAAAGCTAGAAACATTTCTCAGAGTGATCATTTTCACGGCTCGAAATATGGTCCAAACAATCATATCCCATGCTGTCAATGAGTGGAGTAGATAGACTATGCAATCTGGATCCATACTAACGAGGCTTCTCAACCTACAGGCCCCGCTAACATGTCCAGCGACTAGGATGGAGATACGCCTCAAACGCTTCAACAATCTCCGGTGAGATGGCCGAGTTGGTTATGGCGCCAGGTTAAGGTTACCTTAACACTTTACATCCTGGTACGGAAACGTGCGTGGGTTCAAGTCCCACTCTCATCACTTCCACTAGATTCAATCTAGGAACCATTTCTTTTGTCATTTTTGATGTTTTCTTTTGCTTTTTCTACCTGCAAGGTTCATGATATTTGACTACTATACATCGCAACGGCTCCCAGTGCTATGCATAATTAGAACTCGCCTTTCATGAGAACTTTTATATCTATGTCTGTATGTGTCAAGTGACGTCTCTAAACAGCATTGTTCCCATTATAATGAGTCGACTTATATTAGCATTCCTCCAAAGACTATACAACCGACCCTGAACTGTCACTCTTCTTTCTAGCTTCATCATGTCCAAAGACTTGAGATGCCTCATGACGCCGTCCCATGTCGAGCCCCGGCAAAAAGAAAGAGCCGATAAACGGTATAACACAAAAGGCACACATGGCAATCCAAATTGCCTTCAAGGAATCCGAATACGCCCCAATGATCTTGTCCTTGAACTCCCCATCCACCAGCGCTTCCAACCTCTGAATCAGTGCAGCCGCATCGCTCGCGTACTCGGCGGCAAAGGGGGCGAGCTCGGGGTCGGCGCGCATCAGCGCTCCCATGCGATTCTGGAACACGACGCCCACGACAGCGACGCCCACGGCCTGGCCCAGGTAGCGGAAAAAGTTGAGCACGGTCACGGCAAAGGCGGCGTGCTCCTCGTCCATGGCCGCCTGCGCCAGGAGGATCAGAGCGTTGTATAAGAGACCCAGCCCGGCGCCAGCGCAGGCAATAGTCAGCGCGCACTGCCAGAGCGGCGTCTGGGCGTCGAGCAGGACCAGCAGGCCGCTGCCCGCAATCGCCAGGACATATCCCGCCCGAATGACCCAGCGAGTATCGCCCGTCTTGCTAATGATAACGCCGGCCACGCCCGAAAAGGGCGCCAGCGTGATGCCGTAGGGGATCATGCAGAGCGCCGCCTGGAGTGAGCTCATGCGCTGCACGGCCTCAAAGTACAGCGGCAGCACGTAAATGAGACCTAGCACCAGCACGGTGTGAAAAAAGGCCGCAAAGAGGGCGTAGATGATGTTGTAGTTTCCGAGAAGCTCGAACCGGATCAGCGGCTCGGGGCCGGCCAAGTACTTCTCGTACACGACAAAGATGGCGATGCCGACCAGGCCCATGGCCATGGGCACTGTAGTCGACGGCGACGCCCATGAGAATAAGACGCCTCCCCACGTGATGCCCAGTAAGAGGCTGGTAAAGGCGGCAATCGATATCACCATGCCGACCCAGTCTACCTGCTGGGCCTTTTGCCAGTACGTGCCGGGCACCGGGCGCAGCTGTATGAAGGCGTTGGTCAAGATGATACCAGTCACGGCAACTGGGATATTGCACCAGAATATCCATCTCTGTGAAAATGTGTGAGCCAACATGTTTATTTCTCCCACGAGACGACAATGAGGCTAGTGACTCACCCACGACGCTTTCGAAGCTACCAACCCTCCCAAAATAGGACCCGCGACATCACCCAGCGTCCACAAGCCCGAGATGATGGAAAAGTAAATTCCCCGGACCCTCAAGGGCACCAAGTCCGTCACCACAATCTCGAGCAGCACGGCAATGCCGCCACCTCCCGCGCCCTGGACCGCGCGGCCGGCGATGAGGACGGCGAAATTGGGCGCCGCGCCCGCCATGGCGGTCCCGGCGAGGAATAAGCCCGTACTCAGGTTGAGCGCGGGGACCCGGCCCACGACGTCGGATAGGCGGCCCAAAGGCGCCATGAAGATGGCTTCGGTCAGGAGGAAGCCGGTGCCGGCCCAGAAGGACTCGAGGGCGGTTCCGTCGAGGTCTGATGCCATTGTCTATATCCAAGTTCCTTGGTCAGATGAATATGTCGGGATAATCAAGTATGTACGAAGCGGGACTCGGGACTTTGAAGCTTACTGGTATAGCAACCGCCAAGGCCGTCGAGTTCATGGCCACCATAAAGGTGAGGACCATGAGGGCCGAAAAGGCAAGCTTGAGCCGGGCATCAGGGCGGAAAGGCTGATCATCGTGATTAGGCTGAACGACGACTTCCTTCACCACGACGCAGTCCAGGGACTCATCCGATGATGGTCCAGCTGCGTCTGGGTAATGTTTGCTCATTGTGTTTTTGTGCTATCTACCCGGGAATTCATTGGTCAGCCACCATGAAGAGGAAAGTCGCAAGCGCGTCGACTCTGATCCCCAAGGACTCTTCAAGTACGACCTGAGATCTGTATTTCGAGGCTCAGTCGGCATGAAGAAGAGGCTGAAAGTCCCCGTGTTGGCAGTCAAACTTGTTCAAATATACCCTGCCGAGCTGCCTGTGAATAACTTTCCGGGGTGCCTGTAACTAACTTTTTGGACTTGTCTGTGAATAACATTCCTAGCTGCCTGTGAATAGTCCCACTGCCACTCTGGATGCAAGGAGGGGAGGAAGTTTGTCCGGTTTCGTCACAATTCTGCTTCAATATATGAGTGGCTTGTTACCCTCATCGTGGCCAAGCCCCTCGGACTGTGAATAAGTTGTCGATAAGTTCCATTATTTCGATCAGGACCAGAAGCCATATAGTAATGAATCACAACATGTCCCGGGTGTAAAGTGTTGGTTGAAAAGTACCGTTTCATAAAGCCGCATCGTCAATCCATCTCCAATGTGACCATGAGTCCATCTGGCCCTGTGGAGTTGTGATGGGACACCAGAGACCCCAAGAGCTGGTTTTGATAGCCCTTACTTCGGCAGTACAGCTCCGTTTCCTGCATCCCATTATTCTGGTTAGTAGCAGCCCCAGTGGCACGTCACCGGGGATCAGCCCTCACTTCATGGGGTAGGGCTGCGCGTTCTGGACCTTGTATGTTTGTTGTTGCCCCAAAAAGTGACGATTCCAACCGCTGTTGTAGCCCAGTCCGTGAAGGATTGATGTGGAGCAAGATGCAATGCTTGTTGGTGGTCGGATGTTGGAGATGGCTCGGCCCCAGGAACAAAGCCAACAATATTCCAACACCGCGCAGCTTGGGATGCTCATCCATGACGGAAAGAAAGAAAAATAGCAGGGCTGCTAAAGAAAACTACCGCAGCCAATTCTTATATTTGGAAACATAACAACGGGTCCAACGGATCCAACGTGCGACTCCCAGTGAAATGACCCCAAGGCAGGCACTTTCTGTCTGCCAGCTCCGCCCCCAGCTTCACTTGTTGCTTGCCAGAATGCACTGTAATTGTTGTAACTTTTCTACTTTTTGAAAGTTTCTTCGCCCCACCCGCCCAGATTCATAGCAAAGAAAAGCAAGTTCAGCCGGAAGCAACAGCGGATGCATTTGACTTGGTATTAGTATGACGTGCTTAGTGATTTGATTCCTAATTCACAGCTCTCTCGAATAGCATGCTCATCCGAGGTGCAGGAATAACAAGGCTACGGAAGGAGCCCTGAATGTTTCCCGACGTTTTCGTATCAGTCCGGGAATGGTAGACCCTAGCTGCACCGTACCGGTTATTCACAAATGAAAACCGAAGATAATGTTCACGATACTGCATATTATGTCACAGGTAGATAGATTGCATAGCATCTTGGGGAAAAAGCAGAGCAACTTTTATTGACCATTTGCCTGTGGAATATGGCCCAGGTTATACCTCGAGACTCCCTCAAACTCCCATGCCTGCGATATGTTCAATGAAGCTGCCACGCAAAATCGACGTGGCAACGAAATCCTTATCTACCGACCGTCGTGATCACATCAGAGAAATCAGATCTGATGAAAAGTCCGTCGTTTTTCCACCTAAACTTTTGTGTTTTCGGATCACCCGCCCGGACGAAATAGTCCCGGGGCGCAATATGGCGATTACGCCAATCATTAGAGTAGTTCGCGGTACAAGGAGTTTTTTCCGACTCCTCGTCCGGCTGAACATGGTGTATATCAACCCAAAGAAATTCGTTTCAGTAATCTTACACGGCTTCAGCACACTCCAGTCTGAGTGAGCCGAACCCGACTTGCGTGCGTCAAGAGAGCGACATCATTGACCCTGGTCGGCATCGTCACTGTCGATCAATGGGCCGTTTCAAGAGGTCGACTGGGGCGTTGGAGCAGATTCCGCCGTCTCCTCTTTCTTGGGTTCTTCTTCGAGACGAGGCTTCTTGGCAGGACGCTCAGCATCAGCATCGGCTTCGGCAGCAGCGGCGGCAGCGATAGCGGCAACAGCGGCAGTCTCCTCAAGTTGCTTGATCTTATCTTGAGCATCCTTAAGCTCTTGCTCCATCTCGTCCAGTCTACGCTTGAAGATGTTCTCACGGCGATGGCTATCATCTAGCTGGCGCTGAGTCTCGTCCTGCTTGCGTTGCGAGTCCTCGCGCATCTGACGCTCGTGAGCCTCGGCCTTCATGGCTTCTTCTGCTTGGTGGCGGAAATTGTCGGCATTCTGCGAATCGGTCTCGAGTTGCGTCAGGCGGCCACGATACAGCTCGTTGATGACCTCCAGTTCGCTCACGCGCGTCTTGAGACTAGAGTTGGTAGCAATCAACTGCTCGCGGGTTTCAGTCACACCATCGTGTGCGTCGCCGTTTGCGGCTGATGCGTCGTGGCCATTGGAGGCTCCGTCTGGCAGCGCATATTGGGGCAGGCCTGGTGATTGATACTGGTGCCCATCGACGCCGTTGGTATACATGGCCAAGTTCGGATCATACATGGCAGGTGTGCCGGTGCGCGAGACGGGGGAGTCATCAGGGTGGCCGTTCAGTTTGTGTTGCGATGTACGTCGGACGGCGGCGAGAGCTGCCGCGGTTGCAGCATCGTGCGCATGCATGTTGAGGCCATTTGGATCTACGGCGGTAGCAGGAAGGCTCTGGAGGGGTATCGTTGTCAGTATGCGACAGGTTTGCGATGCGAAACGCTCCGATAGGGTTGCTCACCTTCTTCTTCATCTGCATATCCGGGCGCACAGTCTTGACGCGATTGCGGCTCTTGATGACATCGGTCTTGAGAGAAATGGGTCTTGGGCGACCGTGCAGCTTGAGGAACAGACCGCAGGCGTTGCAAAGAACGGAACCCAT